TGTATGGAGCCCTGTGTACCTACAACTTGGCTGTGTGCATGGCTGTGGTCAGGTTCTGCAGAGACAGGGGAATCCCATCTCCCTGAGTGACTGTGGCTGGAAGTGCTGAGCCCTGTTGAGGTGAAGTAAAGGGAGAAACATAACAAAAAAGAAGAATTTGTTGATCCAGTAACAGTCATCTGGCTTTTAAAGCTTTCCAAGATTTCCTGGAAGCTAGAGAGATGTAATCAACCAAGTCTGAGCACTGGACAAATGCACTGCAGTGTTTGGGTTGGGATTTTTTTATTTTATTCTCTTTTAATTTAAAAATTATTTGTTGGAGGAACAGACTAAATTAAATCAAATTGCCAAAAGACCACAGGGGAGCTCTACTAGGTCTTTCTTAAACTGAGTACATAAACTTTAGCTCCCATTGGTTGGGCAGCTTTGGAGTCTTTAATCTTTGTTGCTGTTTATTTTTCATAGCTGTCAGTCTCTGTAATTCTAATTATTGGTTTTGTTAGTGGAGTCATGAAGTGTCCTGTTGGCTTAGAGGCTGATGCATGGGAACCTTAATTTGACTGGCTGAGTCGTGACAAGTGCATATCACTCCAGTTTCCACAAACTCCTCTGCAGGACTTGAAACAGCCTTGACAATTATTTGGCCAGCTGAAAAAGAGACAGTACCAAAATTAATAAAATGTGTTCCAGTAAAGCAATTTCCTTTGCCTTTCCCTGTCCTACTTGCCTATTTTATTTCACCCTTTGTCCCCTCAAAAGTTAATTTTAAAATTAAAGAATGTGTGCTACATGATACAGCTTTGGGTTTTTAAGTGAGCCTAGAGTCGAAATCAGAGAGGCAATGGGAATTCAGTTTGACCTCAACACTTGCCAAGCATGTAACAAGCATGCAGACACTGTACAGTCACCAAGGTGAGCTGAGGAGGTGGTGTGACATCACAAATGGAGCAAAGTTTGATGAGTGGACCTGCCATTCCTCTGCGGGCTGTGCACCACGCAGTGCACACTGAGACTGTCCAGAGGGTGCTGCTTTTTTTGTAGTTTTTTAAGCTCCATGCAAATGAAAGTATTTCAGATTTATTTCAGAGTTCATTTCAAGGAAACAAGCTTATCTAAAATAGCCTTTTACCCATCCTTGCAGATTTGCTGCTACTTACAGGGAGGTTGAAGACTAAGTGGGGTGCAAGGGGAGTGGGAGTGAGGTGGGGGATCTTCTTGTGCTGATTGCCTGCATTGCTGACCAGTGGAGAGGGTGAAGGCAGGATGGTGTTGACTTCATGTGTGGGGATTCAGCAAAACTGCATTGGATGATGATGAGAATGAGAAAAGGGGTTTGCAACAGATGATCTCTGGGTCACGGCTTAACTGTGACCTTGATGTTGATCTCAGTAATCAATGTGGAGGTGCTGTTGGATTTAGGAGCCCAGCCTTTGCTTTCAGCTATGGTAGGGGTTGGTATGTAAACGCATGTGTGTTGACTTTTACAAACGCTAACAAGTCCCACAGTCTTACACTGTTCGCTGCCCTTATTGATGGTGTGCTGCTTAGTTGAGGATGTTACTACTAGTCCAGGAATTAGTACTAGTGTAACAGGCATTTAATTATCACGTGGAGCTGCTATTACTGCAAGCAGGCAGAGCCAGAGATGTAAATTTGAGTATCTCATCCACAGGCAGTGAGTTATTTGCCTCATGTATCAGTGTGATCTATCTAATGCTTTTAAATACTCAATGTATTGATATGTCCAGACGCAAATGAGTTCTTCACTGTCTGTACCTCAAATCTTGGCCACATCATGCAGATGTTTGCTAGGCTCAGTCCGTCGCTGCCTGGGTTGTCCTGGCTGTCTAGCCAGATACAGCTATTTTAGCCCCTGCGTGTATAACTGTAACCTGCTATCTTTGCACTTCACTGCAAGCTTAGCCACTGGCTCCAACAAACTATCACCTATTCCTGGTACTGGACAGTTTAGCAAAGATCTTTACTGGGGACATCAAGAGGTCCAGCAGTTAGTGTCTGCATCCAGCTTACAGTCCTGTGTTACGTCAAGTTAGATTTCACATTTGCTTCTGCCCCTCTGGCTGTATGATGTAGGCTTTTTAGTTATTTTGCAACACTACTAAAGTATTTAGGGATTCTCAAGGAATCAGAGGGTGGACCAACAGAATTCTGGATATTAATGAAGAACTTTCAGCTGAGATTAGTTATTTTGCTTACTTATGTGTTGAATACGAATAACCCTAGGCAAGCTGTGATGAAGAGCAGGCTGGACAAACAACTAATGCTGCTAATATTGACCCAGAGCTCCATTTAGCTTTGCAGCTCCCTTTAAAAGGAAGCAATCAAAAGGAAGCACTGTGAGATCCTGAAGGCTGCTTGTTTGTTTTTTCACATGCTGCTCAGCTTGGGAGGTGAAAATACCCGTCAGTTTGATTTCCTCTTTCTCAGACTTTGGTCAATGTTGATGACTTTGCATTTTCTGTGCTGGAAGGGTAATGTTGAAATACGCCTTCAAGAGATCATGAAAAACATTCTGGTTGAAGAAAATGTTAGACACTTTCTAAAGGGTATTTTTTTTTATTATGTTTTATTTTACCAGGTCACATTGTTTTAAGATTTTTTTTAATAACTGTACTGTTTCTACATATGATTGCCACTAATCACCTCTGGTGATGCACAGATCATCCTGCAGGTAATTTTTCAGTCTGAAATCTACAAAGTGGATTTTACAAAGCTTTTGCAGCATGGTGATGCTTTCTAGACAATGGTATATAAATGCCATTTCCAAGTGAGACTGCTGTTATTATTCCCAGATGTTCCAGTCCTTTAGTTGCCTAAATATAGTTGTTGGTGAGGAGTTTTAGGCTTTCAGGGCAGAAGGTCAGCTTGAAAGGGACTCAGAGTTGTAAAGTAAGCAATTTCTGGATTTTGGGCCTTATCAGCTCTCACTGTGAGTGTGATGGGAAAGCCTTTAAGCTGCTTTTGTCAAGCTTGGGAGATAAAACTGGCATCTCATAGAAAAAAATGCTGAGGTCTGAGTCATTTTGGGTCACAAGTTCCATTGGTGTAAATTTGCCCCACTGTATTGACATAGTGGAGCTAATGTGATTTCCTCTGTGTATGTCTTGGCAACATCAGTAGAAGCATTTTGACTTTAGATGGGAAATGTCAGAAGTATAGTCGCCTTCCCATCTTGCCATGCGGGGAAAGAGCAAGTGAAGAGACAATGCCGCCTTTGGAGCCACAGCACTCACATCCTTCATTTGAAGAACCAAACCTAGATTGGCGTGGGGTCAGCAGCAGAACTTTGGATTCCAGGGAGTCTAAAGGAAAGCTACACCCAATCTGATGAGCTGCAGCTTGATCTTCTGTCACACTTCAATATTTATGTACCGAAGGCGCTTTGTTTGGTGGAAAATATTGTCCTTTTCCCATCATGACTGTCATCTAGCCATCTGTGTTAGCTAAGCTTTCGCCTTTTATGTATCATAAAAAATGTGCATATTGGAGTTTGATATGCTATTATTATATGTTATTGTTGGAGCATAATAACAAGGTATATGCAGTGAAAAGGACTGTAGGAAAAATGGATTGTGATCTTGCCATTAAAGAGGGCAATGAATGTGTAGAAAGGCCCTAGTCTTGGCCAAAAACCTTATTCTGACTCTTACTTTAGAAGAGCACTAACTCTTATACTACAAACTCTTATATTCTTATGTACCTTATTAAATCGTAACCCTTACTTTAATTTTCCACTTTCTTGTTTCATCCCCTTTTCAGGACCATTCTTCATTTCTCATTTGCGGTGGGTTATTCTCTAGTTTATTTTAAAATCTCTTCTTGTAGAACCGTAGCTGGACCCTTCTTCTTCCTCTTGCATCTCCATGTGAAACAAGGCAACTTTTCATTTATAAGCCAAAAAGAGTTAACCAGGAGTGTCTGGCAGAATCACAAACTTTTCAGTCAAAAGGTTATGACAAACATTCTATTTTCTACAGAAAGTACACATATTTCATATGCTCAAAAAATTTCACTTACTCAAGGATCTGACTTATGTCCAGAAAAATAATTCTGACAAATTTTTCAGCCAGCCCTAATTTTTCTTCATCAGGAGTTTTTAACCAGTCCTAATTTTTCTTCATAAGGATTTTATTTTCTCCTTCACCATTTCTCTTTCTATAGCCTCTTGAGCAAAATAAGATCCCTATAAACATTTGAGCACTAGGTGAACTTTCCAACCTATGGTATTTGGGTGGATTAAAAATAAGGTGAAATAAGTTTGCTGGTGCCCTATTTTTGACAACCCTGGCCTAGACGCTTCCTTTATAGGTCAGTAAAAGCCTTGTTATATGTTTGTAGAGTCAGCAGAAAAAGCTGGCTTTCTTCATAGCCTGAACCAGTGCAATCCTGAAGCTTTCTGAAGTCACTGAGATAAAGACCAGGCCCTGAGAGAGAGCACAAAAAATACACTTAAATGCACGGCTCTGGCCCTTGGATACATAAAAATATTTTGAACAAAGTGGTGGAGGGAAAAATTAGAATGCTGTGCCTCCATCCAGACCACACCAGACAGCTTAGCATTGCTCTAGGATGTAAATGTTGCTGTCAGGGATGAATTCTGGTGTGTCCCCATCACAGCAGAACATGCAACACCCATGTCTGAAGCCCAGCCAGTGAGGCCACCTGAGGAGTGTGCCGAGCTGGTGAATGAGGAAAGGCTGTACAGCTTTTTTTCCACAACAGAGGGCAAGGTTCCTTCACCCCTGCTCTGCCTCTGAGATGTCAAAAGGTATCTATATGCGATTACTTTTAGGTCACTTGCTTCCTTCTAGCTGGTATCTAAGGACCACAGGTTGGATCACTGTGTGGGATACGCCTGTAATACTTGCAGGGTATTGTGTAGTTTTCAATCTGTCTCTCTTTATCTTGCCTGAACAGCTTAATCTGGTTTCACCATGTTTCGTTTTCCAGACTGTGCTTTTTCTTGCTTGCAGGGTATTGTTGCTGAGGGCGGCTGGAAGACAATCAGGTAGGAGAATATAACCCAAACCTGAGAAATGTGCATAGTCTGTTTTAAACAGACTTACTTCCTGGGAGAAGAATGGTCCCTAGTCAGCAAAAACAGTTTCTAGGGTACACAAAACAAAAAGAATTTCTCCGTGAGAAGATTTCTGGTAATGTAATTACCACTAACTACCATCCAGCACTGTTAGTGGAAATGGTTGTAGTTTTCAGCTCACTTGCTGTAAAAACTGAATTGGGCATGACAGTAAATTAAATATATTCTGCCTTAGTGATTAGCGTTTTTGTTCAACTTTGCAGCCTTTAATGGGAGCTCTGTGGCTGTGTGCTCTCTGGTAGCACTGGTTTCCATGACAGCTTCTGTGTCAACTATTTTTCACACATGCTTTATGACTTATTGTACAGCACGTGTTGTTTAGTTTCACAGACCATGATACAGTTTTCAGGAAACTTGTGACTCTTTAACATCTACATTGCAAGGAGCCATCACCTGCTGTGAGGAATGAGAGAACAATGAGCAATCCATATAGGAAAGGTGGGGAAAGCACACTGGTATGTTAAAAATTTGAATTTGTCACACCAGAATGCAGCTGGCAGGAGTGACAAGCTCAGGAGCGTGTGTGAGTCCTTGGACTCAGAGGACCTGATTGTTAGTGGTGGTTTTCTGTTGCTTCATGAAGTCTCCAACATTAGATTTTCAATCTCCGTCACACTTTCCAACCCCCTTTTCAAGCACTGCCTGAGGGCTCTCTCTTGTGCATGCCTTCTTTGTTCCCATGCCCTGTCTGTCCTGAATGAAAAGCTTCTCACTCATGCCAGAAAGACATTTCTAAAATTACCAAGGAGGAACTGTGCCAGGCGGGTACTTCTATGCATGACTGTGCTGGGTGAGTCTTGTTACCCCAGAAGAGTTCTCACTATGTGCATCCTGGGAAACTTCTGCTGGGAGCTGGAAGGTACCCAGTCATGTTCCTCTTCCCCCAGCACATGGGCAGCTTGGGAAGGACAGTGGCTGCAGCTTCTTCTGGGGGGCTTCTCTGCTGAGAGCCTCCCACTGTGAACCCATGGCAGGTGGGGCTGGTGGGAGCCTGGGGCTGCATCTCTGTAAGAGGCTTTCTTGGATATTGTGTCTGAGCAGGGCACAGGCTGCTCTGCATTGTCACAGCTGAGTAAATCAGTTGTTCTATGAGGATGATGTACCAGAGAATGGAGGTCAATGAGAATTTGCCTCAACAGAATCTGAGGAAAATAAAAAGGCAAGCCTACAAGGCAAAAAGCCCAGGGTGGGTGTACGTGCTCTGCCTGAAATAGAGCAGCCAGAATTGGAAACTGTGCTTCGGCCAAGTCCCTCAGAAAGGAGCTTTCCAGAGCGGCATGGTGTGTGGTGGCTCTCACTGGTCGGAAGGGAAAGCCTCCTGCTGACTGCTGCCTCCCTCTGAGCAACGCCCGACAATTAATGCTGCAGCAGGAAATAGGTGGGAGATTAACAAAGGGTTTGTTGCAGAGCGGATTGTGTGGCCCTGTCAAAAGCAGCTGTAATTCCCACCCAGCCTGATTATTTTTGCCATGGACTAGCCTTGTTACTTGCTTCCCCTTTCAAATAAGGTTAACACCTTCAAAAATTCGGAACTTGCTAGAGACTTAGAGTCTGCTGGGGAGAGTAGTTTCTACCTCCCCTGGGGATTTCTGTACAGTGTTTGGATTTGGCAGGGTTCAAGGGTAGAAGGGATCCTGGTCTTTAGACTAGGAGGGAGACAAAGACAACTGACGAAGAGCAGCATTTCAGCCTGGGATGGGCTCATTTGTCATTGCCAGGTACCTGTTAGATCTTGCATTCCCTGGGAGAGAATTTGTTAAAAAATGAAAAGCTTTCTGGTGTCTGAAGATCAGTGGAGCCTGAAGCAGGAGATTTTGTGTGCCTGACCAACCTCAGATAACTTAAAAATGTAGAAGCTGCAGCATAAATCACTTACAACCCAAGAGCCAGTCACTGTTTCACACCCAAAACTGTGTCCTATTCCCTGGCACCAATAAAGCCTCAGGTTTGTGTTCCCCAACTCCCATGCTGCCACTTGCTGCTGGCCCAGCACCAGAGGAGAGGTACAAAGTCTATGACAACTGTTTGTGGTTAAACATGGTCATTGGAGAAGTATTGGGACTTCTAGTGGCCTGCAGCCTATGCTGTCTCTGACTCCACAAGGCACCCATGCCCTCCTGTGAAGCTTTTGTCCCAGGTTTGGAGAGCCTGAGGACCAGAAGAGTCCCATGGGCACTGGAATTCACATAACTAATGCTAAATCTTCTTAAAATGTAATGTGTGTGCTTCCTGGCAGCTTGTAACCTGGGGTTTATATCCTGGCATGGTGGGGGGAAGGTCAAACACCTTCTCTTCTTGGGGCACCTGACAAGGTGTTGCCCCATGTGGGTGCTGGGAGGCTGCTGTTGGCAGTACTATTGGAAAAGGGCTCACCAGAATTGGGCTCAGGTCAACCAATGGCTGGGTGGGAGCACAGGCTGTGCTGGGGCAGGGCAGGACAGTGGCTGCAGGGCAGGAGGGGTCTCTGAGCTTGAGGGCCTGTGGGTCTGCAAGGGGCAACTTGTGGCAACGGTGTGGGAGCAGGGTTGTGGACTCAGAGCCCTTCTCCTTGTGCTTCATTTCACTGTGGCTCATCCACTGGGTAGTTGGCATTGCAGTCACAAATTGCACATGGCAGACCCCCCTGGACAGGTGGGCCAGGGAAGCTCTATTCACCATCTCTGCACTCAGGTTGGGAGCCCAAAATCATATGTGGCTGCAGCTCCACCCAGACAGAGCTGTTTATTTTTGAAGAAGCTGGGAGATGCTGTGAGAGAGGTGGGTAAAGTTCAGCTGGGATTATTTTTAATACCCTGTGTCTAGAGGGAAATTTGGAGTTCCATTTGATAAGAGCTGCTTTTTCCATTCCAAATGTGTTTGCTTACATTGCACGAAGTCCTGCCATTTTTTGTACCTTTGCATTCATTTCCACTCTTCTCTTTTGGCTACCCCTCAAAATGCTCTGTTTGGGGCCAGGACCCTGTGGCAGGTGATGCACTGTGCCTGCTAGCAGGAGGACCCAGCCCCACTCCCCTCCATACTCTTTTGAGCTCTCTTTATGGCTCATTCCCCAGCTGCTGCACAGGATGAAATCTGTCTTCTAGCAGGTAATTCATCATTGTACTTGGTGACAACACAAAGCTCTCCTGTTGAGGCATCTGAGTGTGTCCCCTGGCTGAGATACCTCTTTACACAAAGCTTGGGGAATTAAGCTGTATTACAGTATTTATACTGGGCTGTACCTTTGCTCTGAACCCTCTGCCAGGCTCCAGAGTGAGTCAGTATGAGTGGAGCCAGCAAACAGGCTAAGCTGAGTGATGAGGACCCACATTCACCCCCTCGTTCTGCCTCTAGCCTGCACAGGACTTGGGTTGCCTCACTTTGGCTACTCCTGGCCGTTGGTTCCCCAACTGTAAAGTGAGACTGACAGCACTACACTGCCTCTTAGGGATGCTGAGGAGATAAAAGCATTGATGTTGGCATTGATTGCTGTTACTTGCTATACTCGCTGTTAAGGAAAGCCAAATAAATAGTAGTTGGGAGTTGATGGACAGCCAGATTTTTCCCTCACTCACACCTCCACCTTCTGAAACCACTTGGATGTCACCACAGCCTGATACTTGTAAGCCCTTGAGTGCGTATGTATGTGTGTGCGTGTGTGCGACACTACAGCATCTCTCTTCTGGATTCAAACCAGATGTTGAGATGACAATTTGATCCCCTCCTGCTCTGGCTGAGCTGAGTGGGTGGAATCTGGGCTATAGCTCTCAGCAGAGTGTCCAGCCAAGAATCTCCAGGCCTTTCTCTGACATTAACAGGACCCCCTGGAAGTTTGAGAAATGTTGCTGTATCAATGTGCAACTGGAGAAGCCAAAGCCCCTGAAGCAGAGCAGGCTTGCTCAGCCCTGGACAAGCTGGAGCATGGCCTGTCATCCTCTCTTCCCTGGCCTGACCACTAGATGGAGATGTCCCTTCCACAGCTGTGAAGAACGCAGGTATTCAGGAAAATACAGTTCTCGCTGATTTCTCAAGGACCTGTCAGTGAAAGCGAAGACGTTCTTCCTCCTGGTTTCACAACAAGTCGAATCTGGACAGTGGTATGGGAAGAGGCTTCTTGTTTTAGCAATAGGGTACGAGGAGCAGCTTTTAGAAGAATTTCTCATTTTGAGCCATCTCCATGTAGCAAGTACCCTCTCTCCCATGTGCAGAAGCAGTGAAGTAAATCGGTTCAGAGATCCCAAACATCTCACTTGCTACTCTTCAGGGTGCTCTGCAAGTCATGGGGAGCCCAGAGGTGACCACTTTTGCAATAACACTCGTGCAGCTCTAACAGAGCACACATGATCTGTGGCATAGGAGTGATGACATCTCTAAGACCTGGAGCAGCTGATTTTCAGCCACCTCCACCCTGCATCTGGCAGCTTGCTTCACTCTGCTTCAGAATCAAGGATCATAAATACAGATTCTTCTCTGTCTAGATACTTAATTTTGCTTAGAAAAGAATTCTTGAATTTGGAGGTTGGAAAAAGAAGGCAAAAGTATTGCTGTGACTTCAGATGTGCCTGGTGGCTATTCTTTCTCACTGCTTTAATGTACATTCAACCTTACTTGCTTTTTCTCCCTGGACTCATTCTTCAAGTAGAAGGGTAACAATGACTTCAAATTCAATCCAGTCTTCCCTTCCCCCGTTCCCTCCTTTTTTCCAAGAACTGACAGTGAGATCAGACAAAAACTCTGAATCAGTGTCCAGTCATACATTGGTATGTCTGTCACTAATGTTTTGCAGAGCTTCAAGCTGAAATGGTTGAAGTTGCTCTGAGTTACTGCAGGAGGATCTGCAGCTCCAGTCCTTTGAGCAGCAAATTCTGGAGGTGCTATGCCTCTTGAAGCCCAACAATAAATAGTGGCAAATATGCAAATTCTGTCTGTTC